CACCAGCAGGGTCACTCATTGTGGACAGGTTTCAGTGGGGCTTTCAGAATAAGACAGACTAGGAAGAAAGGTCTGGTGAACCACTTCAGAACATTAGCCAATGAAAACCTTATGGATCACAACAGAATATTATCCAGTATAGTGCTGGAAGATGAGCTCCCTGGGTTGAAAGACACTACACAATAGTCATAGCAATGGGCTCAAACATATCAACTATGATTAAGAAGGTGCAGGACCGGGCAATATTTCATTCTGTTATACTTAAGGTTGCCATGAGTCGGAGTCAACTCAACAGCAACTAACAACAACCAAACAAAAATTCCTAGGGGTGAAATTGCATAGTCATGGAGTTTTTTGCATTTTAAACTTTGACATATATTGTCAAACTGCCTGCTATACAGGTTACATCAATTTACACTCTTATGATCCATGGGTGAGAGTTCCTATTTCCCCACATCTTGGGGTATGTGTTTGAAAATATTGTCAGAGGCCAGATCATACAGAGCATTGTATATACATTTGAACTTGATCTATAGACCATGGAAACCCATTGTTGGGTTTAGGCAGCGGGTGAGGATGGTCAGGTTTGATTTTTGAAAGAAAGTTTATTTTCATGATGACAGCAAATAAATTTTGTAGTGATTTTTTACTCTCCAACAGGCATGACTGATAACGTGATGAGTCAGAGTCCCAAATATCCGTTAGGATTTAAGCCATGCTAGGGAGAGAATGTTTATTATTTGGGTACAGCTGCCACTGTAGACAATAGGATTGGACATGAATGCAACTTGGTTTCTTTGCCATCCCATAACTCTAACTTTCCTGCCATTTTTCTTTTATCACATGCTTCCTGCATGCTGATGGCTTCTAATGAGACATTTGGCCCTCAAGGGTAATGATGTAAGATCAGTAGAAAGGAATTTTTTATCAGAAGCCAACAGTTGACTGAATGACAAACAGGTAATACAGCAACTTTATCGTTCTCTAGAAGACCATTTTGCAAATTAATTAGATTTAGAGCATTGAACAAAGAGCTGGGTGAGGCAAAAATGCAGACACATTCATGCAGAGTCTTTTGTTTATAAAACCAAAGGTAGCCACCATTATGTGATGCAAAGAGAGAAGGAAAGATTGATGGTGGGTGATTGTGAAGCACCATCATATGAAGGACCAGAGAGCACACTCAAACACTCCAACAGCAGTTCAAGGATGAGCGCACTGGGCTTAGTACTCTTGGGGCTCATTCTGAGTTTTAGGGCCACCACTGCTGGGCCAGTGGAGGGCAACCTTTGCTCTAAGAGCCAGGTGGCCTTCAGAGATGCTTGCTATGAATTTGTACCACTTGGACGCACCTTCCATGGTGCCCAGAGCTGGTGCGAGGGGCAAGGAGGCCATTTGGTCTTCATTCGGGACGAAGGCACCCAGCAGTTTCTGCAGAAGCACATCTCCCAGGACAGGGAATGGTGGATTGGACTCACAGGGAGTTTGGTGCTGAATGGAACCACAGAAGGTAGGGACTGGGCTAGTAATGTTGTATGGGAAGCTTGTGGTTGGAATTCTCACCATCACTTCTCACACAGAGCTCTGTGGAGCAAATTAATCTTTTCAATTCTCATGGTAAAGATACCCTCCTCTGTGACTGGCAAGAAATAAAGTAATTTAGGTACAGTACCTAGCACAGAAGGAGCCCTGGTGGTACAATGGTTAACCACTCAGCTGCTAACTGAAATGTCAGCTCTGCGGGAGGAAGACCTGGTGATCTGCTCCTGTAGAGATTACAGCCTAGAAAACCCTATGCGGCAGTTCTACTCTATCACATGGGGTCACTATGAGTAGAAAATTGACTCCACAGCACCTAACAACAACCTAACACAGAATCCAGCACATAGCTGATACTCTAGAAATGTCAGTTTCTTTGCATGAGCCTAATAAGAGTAACAGCTAGGACTTCTTCCTAGAATAGTGTTGGACACTATCCTAAGTGCTTCATGTCCCTTATGGTGTTGAATCCTTACAACTGATAGGATAATTACTATTGTTGTGAATGATGAGGAAACTGAGTCTCAGAAAATTATTGCTAAGCTATTTTCAAAAGGCTTCCCCATGTTTTTCCCGACTTGGGATGAGATTAAAGGGGTTAAGTGTCTAGCACAGCTCAATGCACATTAGAGAGTCTCATTTTAATGGTCTTCCTGGAAACTCTTACTTAACCTTTACTATATGACTCCCCCACTACCTTCAGTCACAGTCAGATGAGCCCTTCTCTATGCACCTGTAGGACCCTACCCACACTTCTATGAGAACACTTTGGGTATGGCTTAATTATCTAGGTGTCTATCTTTCCCCCAGAGTATGAGCTCTTCAGGGGAAGGAATCAGATTCTGGTCATTTTTGTTGCCCTCCTCTGGCCCACAGCAGAGAATAAACAAACAGACATTTGTATTTCATCCTTACCCGAACACCACGAGGTGGGCATTTGATACTCTTTTTTTTTTTTTTTAAATTTTATTTTATTGTGGTAAAATATATATAATAAAAAATATACAGAAAAATTTGGGAACTGTTAATGATGATGGTCCAACAACATGATGAAAGTAATTAATGTCACTGAACTGTACATGTGAAGATTATAGAAATGGCAAATGTTTTGTTGCCTATATACTTACCACAATTTTTTTTAAAGTTTGCCATTTTAACCATTTTTAAGTGCACAATTCAGTGACATTACTTACATTCACCAGGTTGTGCAACTATCACCAAACGTTTTTCATCACCTTAAAAAGAAACTCAGTACCCCTCTTGCAATAACTCCCCATTCCGCTCTTCCCCCAGCCACTGGTACCACTAATAGACTTGGGTTTCTGTATATTTGCTTATTTCATATAAGTGAGATCATCCAACATTTGTCCTTTTGCATCTGGCTTATTTCACTCAGATAGTGTTTCCAAGATTCATCCATGTTGCAGCATGTACCAGGACTTCACTTCTCTTAATGTGGAATAATATTGCATTGTATAGATGGACTGTATTTTGTTTATCCATTCATCTGTTGATGGACTCTTGGGTTGTTTCCAAGCATTGCTACTCTTACTTTATAGATAAGGAAAATGAAGTCCAGAGAGAGGAACTGACTGCTCAGGATGATGGGGCTAGTGGAGGGCAGTGAGGGCTTAAACCGGGTAGGACCAGCTCCTAGGTCTGGGCTTCTCCCACCACATCACACCGACCATCCAGACACTCTCCTTGCCTCTGTAGAAGCGACTGGGTTTTAGAAACAAGTAACTTCTGAAGCACCTACAGAATATATCAGAGTGGATGGAAATGCTTTAGTAAATGAGCAGCTGGGGAAACACATTTAAGGAAACTCACAGCTAAGAGTATTTGAATTCTGAAGGTATGTGTTCAGGCAATGTCTATTGAATGGGTTGTTGTCTTGTAGAGGCAGCAATTGCAAATTTCTGTATATTGGATGTCCATTCATATGCAGTTAAAGGAGATGTGTCTACTTAAAATCTCCAAGGAATACTGCTTGGCTGTTACAGAAAATGAAGAAGATCTAACCAGGCTGATATGCAACAATCTTCAATATTTAATATGATTTAAGAAGCAAGGGGCAGAACACTGTGTGCAATATGATGGTATTTGTGTAAATAGATCTCAGGCCCTCATAATTGCTGATCTAGGGATAAAATTCTGTCTGGAATGATTCACAAGAAACTGAAAAAAAAAAAAGGAGTAGTTCATAGGTTTGCAGAGATAAGATGTTTACTTTTGATTTTGTAACCTTTTGTACTATCTGATTTTTTTATCATATGCATGGATTTCTTTTCTTTTAAAAAATTAACAAATATATTTTTGTCTTCATAGTAAATAATTTAGGTCAGTATTATCCAAACTATTTTCTAGCCCTCTAGTGTCCTTGAAATGTTTTTGTATTTTGATCATGTGTGCCCGCATGCACACACAGATATACACGCATGCACCCGTGTGTGTACACGCACAGGTACACAAGCACACACAGGCACACACACGTGCACACACACGCACACACATGACACCTCTTCAGCAGTCATCAGTGTATTCAAGGCTCTGAAGAAGCGCTTATATTTTAACTCAGGACTCTCCAAATACATTTGACAGGAAACCCTACTTCTGGGTAGAACACCTTTTAACATCCCTGGGGACACGAGCATTCTGTGCTCTTTTACATTATGGTTAGACAGCACTGGAAGCATCATTTATTTAAGCCAACAACCTTCTATGGGCTCTCCAGTTTGGTGTCCCTGTTTTTAGGTTGAGTTCTTATGTATGAATGTTTGAAGACAATGGTTAGGAAATGTCCCGTGCCTGTAGGGAAAAGAGAGACCTCTGGCCTTTGAACATTTATTGAGCACTACTGCACACCAGGAGTTGAGCTAAAGACAAGCTCTGCACATAGAAGGGGTAAGAGGAAAGTTGTCAAGTCCTGATGTTGCTCCCCTCTCAGGGCCTGGGACTTGGTTGGACACCTCTAATGTGACCTACAGCAACTGGGGTGGAGGGCAGGCTGTGCCCGCCCCCGACACCTGCGGCTACATCGGGAGAGGTCCTTCCTCCAAGTGGGCCACCACAGACAACTGCTCTCAAGCGTTAGCCTTCATCTGTGAGTCTGGTGAGTCGCCTGCATGGGGATCCTCCTTCCCGCCTCCCTCTCTTCCTCCCTTCCTGCTGGTCTGCCTTCTCCAGCTGAGACTCTCTCCTCCTTCTGCCTCCATCTCTCTGACCCTCTCTTTCCCTGTTTTCCCCCTCCTCTGTCTCTCTAAATTCTCTCTTGGGCTTTCTTTTGCTTCTCGTTCTCTCTGACCCTTTCTATTCCTGTTAGTATCTCTGGCTCTCTCCCTGTGTCTCTGTGGGGTCTTTCTCTCTCTCTGTCTCCCTGTTTAAGTGCCTACCTTTTGTGTTTTTCTCTGCTCACCTGTTGGTCTCTGACTATCTCTCTGTCTCTCACTCTGTCTTTCTGAGTCTCTGTCTTCCTTTTTCAGTACCTACTTATCTGTATTTTTCTGTGTCTCTCTGTATCTCTCTCAGCTTCTGACTAGTTTCTTTCCATCTCTCCCTCTCCCTCTGTCTGTCTCTCTCTCTGCCTGCCTGTCTCTCCCGGTGTGACGCTCATCTCTCCGTGTCTCCCTCCCACATCCATTCTCTCCTATGCACTTGCCTGCCTCCCTGTCTCTATCTCCCCTCTAGTACAGATGCATCAAGGGGAAAACGCTCACAGCTCCACTTATCACTCTGTTCCCATACTCCTGTGCAGGGAGACGGGTGCCCAGGGTGCGGCTCCTCCTCACCCCTTGATTCTTGCCACCCCACCAGCCTGAGTCTCCCCTTCTAAGACCTCCACACTCCAACCTCCCGAGTTCCCCCATGCTCTGTTCTTGTGCTCTTTCCAGCCATGCCCACCATGGGCTTCCCCTGCAGGCGCTGGTGAGAGTCCTGGCAGGAGCGGCCTGTGGCCCCAGTTTAGGTCCTGCCTGCCATACAGGTCCTGGTCTCTGAGCTGAGCCACTGCTGCCCAGGCTGCCCTGTGGTCCTCTGACACTGCTTCTCTGATGTGCTCAGAGCCCTCAAGTAGGCCTGACAGAAGCTTCTGGGCTTTCTGGGCCCAGCCCCCTCCCCAGCTCCAGGACCCTCTCTGGGTTTTGAACCCTTAAAGGGGCCCCTGCTCAATTCCCTTTTTGCCCAGCTCAAAATAGATGCCACATATGTTTAACCCCCTTCGCAGGCTAAGTCTGAGAACTCAGAAGCTTCCCAGGAATTGTGTGTTTTGGCTTTCCCTTTCTTTTTGTCACAGCCATCCCCTCCCACCCCCATTAGGCTTGGCTCTTAGAATCTGTCAGCCCAGGGGGTCTTGGAGCCCTGGCACGGAGGAAACACTGTGAATAGCTGCCGTTTATCCTGCAGGAGTTCCAGTGCTGATCTAAGCACCAAGGGTGCATTTATTTGTCACAACAATAGAAGTAGCTACTATGAGGCCCATTTTTAAGTGAAACTTGGAATGGGAAAGTTCCTTGCCCAGGCCACATAGCTGGGAAGTAACAGAGTTGAGAGTTGAACCCAGATTTGCCTGTGGTCAAAGAAAGAGTGGGGCCATGAGCTGAGAATGCAGGCAACCTCTAGAAGCTGGAAAGGGCAAGGAAATGTATTCTCCCCTAGAGCTTCCAGAAGGTACGAAGCCCTGCGGACACCTTGATTTTAGTCCAGTGAGACCCATGCAGACTTCTGACCTCCAGCACTGTCAGAGGATAAATTCGTGTTACTGCAAGCCACTAAGTTTGTGGTAATCTGCTACAGCAGCAATAGGAAAGG